TTCACATTTAATTATCACCTATGTGTATTTATATTCAAGCATATACATGCATTTAAAATTAAGCATGAATTTGCAACTAGTAATCCTGCAGCTAGGCTTAATTATTAGTCGTATCATATCCTTTTTTTGGCCTGATTATGAGTAGGACCTGAATATCAGTGTAATACAAATAATGTATGGGTATCAGGCACATATTAAATTTTATTTTTAAATTACTTATTGAATTAATTTTAAACGTTTTATGATTTTCTAAAAAGAAAATATAATATTTTGTGATCTATTATAGTTTTATTCTATTTTTAAATATTTTATATTTTTAAACACAATCTTAAAAATTATACACTTTTATAATAACTAATTATCAATACAATAATTTATAAACCTGATAAACATAAACAAATTAAATGTTTTAACTAAAGAAATTATATTTATATTGATAACAAAATTTAATAAACAATGATAATTATAATATAATAAGAATTACTCTTGCATTTATAATGTCAATTTGACAATAAAAATAATAATTATAGTCTAGTCAACAATTTAAATATACTGAATAATAATCTTTGTATATTATTTTATTAGTATATCCAAAGCGCATTTCTAATAAAATAAATTATAAACATATTACATTATGTTTAATAAATTCAATATAGGTTAAAGCAAACAATACCAAGAATTTTGTGAATTCCTTCTGATCTACAGACTTTCCAACTTTTATCAAATCATCATTCATTTTCTTATCAGACTGTTCGAGTGCACTTTTACATTTTTCATAATCATCATCGCATCCATCAATTAACATCTGCTTTAAACCAGGCTTGGTCAGATCAATCTTTTTGAACTTGCTCATATCACCCGCTTTTCCTATACATTTTTTCTCAACCGTCTTATCCATCTTGTTTGAAGAAATATATACAGTATATTATTTGTTTGACATTTAATTGAGAATTTCATATTTTATTATACAAAAAATATTATCAAGTTATAAACAGCGAAAACATACTTTTTCAGCAAGTGTTTTTATTTCTGCCGAAAAGCTATTTTTGTAATTATTACCACATTCTAAAACTTTAGTCAATTTATCGGTGTCTATTTTATCAGCATCAGCATCAGTTTTCCAATATCTTCTTCAGACAATACCAATTGATTTGCGCAGCAAGTGATTAAAATAACCATGCACGAAATTATTACTTTAGACATAGTGCGTTAATAAAGTAAAACAGATTGAGCTTTGTAGTAATAAAACTGTGACTTTTATATTATGTGAATTGTTATAACTAATCTATACAATTAAATATAATAATGTATAATTTATTGTTCAACATTATTATATTGTGTATTCACATTGTATCAGCATGTATAAAATAATTAAATGCTGTACTTTTGCTAAATAAAGTATTAAATGTTTAATATGTGTGTAATAATTAAGGCAATAATTATAGTAAAGTTTTGTCAATAATGTACAATTTTAAAAATATAATAATGATTATCACAACAATTTTATAGATGTATAACATTAACTTAATAGAGGATTTTTTTTGTTACCCTTTGACTGATTAACTAATTTTATGAGTCTGAATGATAAATGAATCATCAAGTACCTGCCTTAAAATTTTAGTAATAATGTTTTTAATATGTATCTAAAATATTAATTAATGAAATTACATACTAAAAATTGATATAACCATTTTAAATAATCCTTAAATATAACACTTGCTATTATTATTTTATTTTAAAGTGTCAATAAAAAAATAAGTACAATTACTTTTATATAATTAGTAATTATAATCCATTCTATATTATATTGGTAGTTATATACAGTACCAATCTTACTAAATAATTGTAAGATAGAAATATTTATCTATATTAATATTTTAAGTAACTTAAGCATTTTAATATTTTAATAATATATAATTTAATAACATAACAGTATTGGATGTTCACATTTCTAGCTATACAAAACAGTAGTTTTTTTGTATTTTATGTGATTCTTAAGTGTTTGAATATAATTTATTTAAAACCTACACTAATATAATTAACCAATCAATACTGTATTACACAAACCCGTGTATAACATACAGTGATTATTAAAAGTGCACATGTTTTATTAATTTTTATTTGAATGTAAATACAAAAAACATATTAAATCAAATAAATAAACAAAATTAAAATGCAATAATCTTTTTAAAAAACATTTAATTTGAATACAATGTATATAATTATTATAATAAAAATTCTTTTGTTTGAGTCCAGTTTAAAGTTAAAATTATTAAAATCGTTTATTTCATGATAGCATATCTATAAATATGAAATATAATTATCAATTTTTCAATATGTTAACTTAGGATTAACAATATCATTAATAAATCACTAATGTAATACAATAATTTATGTAACTGATAACATGATATATATAAACAAATTAAACTTTTTAACTAAAGTAACTATAGAAAGTTTATATTTTGATAATATAATTTTATAAATAATAATCATAATCATAATATAGAAAAAATTACTTTTGGCTTTAAAATATCATGTCATGGCAATAAAAATAATTGTAGTCCAGTCAACGATTTAAATATATTAAATATTATCTTTGTATATTACTTCTTAAGTATATCCAAAGCGCATTTCTAAACAAATCAATTATAACCATATTACAATATGTTTAATAAATCCAAAACAGGCCAATCAAACAATACCAATAATTTCCTAAAGTCTTTTTCATTTGCAGATTTTCCAACTTTCATTGAATCATCATGCAACTTTTTATCGGACTTCTCAAGTGCACCTCTACATTTGTGATAACCATCATCGCAACTTTCAATTAACATTTGTTTTAAACCAAGCTTGGTCAAATCAACCTTTTTGAACTTGCTCATGTCACCTGCTTTGCCTAGACACTCTTTTTGAACAGTCTTGTCCACCTAGTATAAATAAATAAATATATATATGTAACATTTATTTGATATTTAATTAAGAATTTTTAATTTAATGGTACAAAAATATCATCAAGCTATAAACATCTTAAGCATACACTTTTATCAAGCGCTTTCATTTCAGTCGAAAAGCTATTTTTGTAATTATTAAGACATTCAAAAACTTTGGCCACTTTATCGGTGTCTACTTTGTCATAAGCGCACAATAGTTTTGTAACATCATCATCATCACACAATACCAAATAATTTGCGCAGCAAATCATTAAAATAAGCATGCACGAAAATATAACTTTAGACATTGTGTATTAATAAATTAAAACAGATTGCGTTTTGTAGTAGTAAATTTGTGACTTTTATACTATGTGAATTGTTAAATATTATCTATACATTTCATTATTATGACATCTAATTCATTGTTCAACATAATTATATTGTGTATTCACACATTAATTGTTTATTAGCATTTATAAAATAATTGCATGCTGTATTTTTTGCTAAGTAAATAAAATTGTACCAAAAATATTAATTAACAAAATTGTATAATAAATATAAATATAAAAATTTTAAACAATACTTAAAGACAACACCTGCTATTATTATTTAATCTTAAAATTGCATTAAAAAATAATTACAATTATTTTCCAAATGAATGTATATATATTTTAACAGTTTTATATCATTCTAGGATAAATAATTGTAAGATAGAATTATACTGTATATCAACATCTATATTTACAGTACCTTTAGCTGTTAAATTTTAGGTTATTACAGCATTGCCTGATCACATTTCTATGTTTATGCTTGTGTTTTATGAAATTTTTAAGTGTTTAAATATAATTTATTTAAACCATTATTAACATAATTAAACAATCAATACAGTGTTATACAAACCCGTGTATAACAGACTATGCATTATAAAAAAATGCAGATATTTTATTAATTACCATTTAATTAAATAAATGAATAAACACAATTAAAATACATTAATTTTTTAACAACATTTTAATTTAAATACGATGTTTATAGTTATTGTAATAAAAATAATTTTGTTTGAGTTCAGCTTAAAGCTAAAATTATTTAAATCACTTTGAAATTCAAAGTTTGATACCAAAGTCTTTGATCGTTTATTTCTTGATAGCAGTTGAGTAACATTTCTATACATATAAAATATAATTATCAATTTTTACGATATGTTAAATAAAAATAATAAAATTCAACTAGTCAAAGTAAACAAACCTGTAATTGATCATTATCTTTTGTATTAGTTAAATTTCCATGTTTAGTTATATCATCATCCAACTTTTTATCGGATTTAAGAAGCGCATTACTACATTTATCAAAACCTTCATCGCAAAACTTGATTAATATTTGTTTCAAATTGGCCTTGGTCAAATCCACTTTTTTGAACGCACTCATATCTCCGGCCTTTCCCATACATTCTTTGTTCATTGCATTATCGATCTATGGATCAAGAATAACATTTTATATTACGGAATACTTAACCAATTTATACTTGTTATATAAATACAAAATTAATAAACTCACTTTTTCAAAAAGAGTTTTCGTTTCAACCGTGCCGGAATTTTTATAACTATCCCAACACTTAACTACCTTGGTCACAATATCGGTGTCAGTTTTATTATGATCGCAAAATATACTACGAAAGCCATCACACTTAACAAATTTCAATTGATTTGCGCTATAAATTGCTAATATAATTGTACACAAAATTAGTACTTTAGACATGGTGCGTTTTATTTGATATACATAAAACAATTGTTCTTATAAATTGTTTAGTTTTAATTTATATATTTGTAAAAATGGGAATTATTAAATGTTTACCAGACTGTTTAAATAATTTGACGTTATAGCATTATGTTTTTAACTTTCAGTATTTACTTTATTGTGTATTTATAATTAATTGTATTGTAACTTTATATACAAATTGTACTTACATTGTATTTTGCTAGTTATAGAATATATTATGTAGATTTTTGTATTTTAATTAACCAAATAAATCATTAACAATTTTTAACTACATTTCAGAATGAAGAATGTGGTTTATAGGATCTCGGCGCTACCCCTCCCCCATCCTATGGGATTTAACATGGGATTCTACATTTATATTTAGAGTAACTTAGGATGTTTAATATTAAGTTCTTTCAGTATTGCATGTTCACATTTCTAGGTATACAAAACAACAGTTTATGTTTATATTTTATGTAAATTTTACGTGTTTGAATATAATTTATTTAAAAACCATTATTAACATAATTAAACAATGAATACCTTATTATACAAACCCTTGTAAACCTTTATAACATGATTATTAAAAGAACAGATATTTTATTAATTCGATATTAAATGTAAATACAAAAAAAATATTAAAACAAATAAATAAACAAATTTAAAATACATTATTCTTTTTAAAAACATTAAATGTAAATTAATGTATATAATTACTTGTTTGAATCCAGTTTAAACCTAAAATTATTTGAATTACTTTGATTGTTTACTTCTTGATAGCATTTGTGTAACATTTCTGTACATAAAAAGTATAAATATCAATTTTACAATATGTTAAATAAAAATAGTAAAATTCAACTAGTCAAAGTGAACAAACCTCTAATTGATCAGAGTCTTTTTTATCTGTAGACTTATCATATTTAGTTAAATCGTCTTGCAACTTTTTATCTGATTTTAAAAGCGCATCAACACATTTACCAAAATCTTCATCGCAAAAGTTGATTAATAATTGTTTCAAATTGGCCTTGGTCAAATCCACTTTTTTAAACCCACTTATATCTCCTGCCTTTGCCAAACACTCTTTGTCCATGGCTTTATTGGCCTAGGTCAAGGTTTATACATAAAATTTTATATTACTCAATACTTAAACAATTTATACTTGTTGTAAAATTTCAAATTAAATAAACTTACTTTTTCAAAAAGTGTTTTCATTTCAACCGTGCCAGAATTTTTGAAACTGTTCCAACATTCTACTACCTTTATAACAATATTGGTGTCCGTCCTATTATGATCGCAAAATGTCTTTCTACTAAAGCTTTCACACTTAGTAAATGTCAATTGATTTGTGCTATAAATTGTTAATATAATTGTACACAAAATTAGTACTTTAGACATGGTGTTTTTGATATACAACAAACAATTGTGCATATGAGTTACTTAGTTTTTAATTTATATATTTGTGAAAATGTTAATTAATAAAAGTTTCATAGACTGTTTACATAATTTGATGTTATAGTAACATTTTGCTATATTAACATTTGATATTATATCATTATGTTTTTAACTATCAGTATTTACCTTATTGTGTATTTATAATGAATTGTATTGTATAGACAAATTGTACCACTTTATATTTTGCTAGTTATAAAGAAGTATTACATCGATGTTTGTATTTCAATTAATTAAATAGATCATTAACAAATTTCCTTTACAATAATTATATTAACACATTTCAAATACTCAAATAAATTGATAATGAATTGTAATTATATTTCACTATTACACGAAAAGTTAAAATATTTGTAATATTAAAAAGTACTAAAAATGTCAGCTTTGTTGATCTAGAGGTAAAATCTCTAGGGCAAATCAATGTGGAGCCTAAGGTCCCTGGTTCGATACCCAAGGACCAATACCTGTTTCACAATTTGTTTTTCCAACTTAATTACAACTGAGAGGGTAGTCGGCGTGCCCTCGTTAATACAGACGCTAGACTGTCTCAGATCGTCCATTGAGGCAGGGCAACGGAGTTGTCTGACGGACACATGAAATATCAATATAAATTAATATAAAAAACACCCCCTCCCTGATAATCAGTCATGCTGAGTGAGCTGGGTCTCTAAATATCAATAATTTCATTTCATTAAAAATTATTTTAAGTAAGAAATCACAGTCTTATTGATATTTCAGATATACAGATATATCTAGTTTTTATAATGGTAATACTAGTAACGTGTGTTGAAACAAAAGTCTTCCCTTCTATCGGACAATTGTCGCCATAGATTGCGGCACTCATTTGGGTTATACGCAGGGTATGTAGACACTTTTTCGAAAGACATTTTTTCGAAAGACATTTTTCGAAAAAATTAATTAAAATTTACTTTAAACTCATTAGATTAATTAAAATTGCTAATAATATCGTTAATTAAGTTATTATAAGTTAGTTTAGGTTAGGTTAGGGTAAGTTGGGTTAGGTTAAACTTGTTAATTCTTTAATTTTAAATTAATTTTTTCGAAAAAATGTCTTTCGAAAAATTGGTTTCGAAAAAATGTCTTTCGAAAAAACGTCTTTCGAAAAAGTGTCATAGAATCATACGCAGAGTATTGAGAGTCTGTTGAGCACAGGCTAACGGGTTGTCCGATGTGTAGACGGTCTGCACGTATAGTAAGTCCCCTTTGCATCGGCCAGAAGTTATGGGACCCAAATTCAACTCAAACATATTGCCTGATATTTAATCAAAATTCCTTATTAAACTAATGTAATCAATTGTTTAAAAAAAACTTTTTATTTTGGATATTAGAATAATGGTGTTTTGATAACATTAATCATAATAATTATTGTCAAATTCCGTTAATACTTCATTGAAATTTTATTTCTTGAGTACATCTAAAGCGCATTTCTAAGCAAATGAAATATAAATTAATATATTTAAAAAATTTCATTAGTTAAGGCACACAAAACCTCATATTTCTGATACTCATTTTGATCCATGGATTGTGAAACCTTTGCGATGTCATCATTTAACTTTTCATCGGACTTCGTGAGTGCGTCAATACATTTTTCATAGCCCTTATCACACATTTCTATCAGCAGTTGCTTTAAAGTAATTTTGGTTAAATCAACTTTTTCAAACTTGCTCATATCACCGGCTTTTCCTACACACTTTTTAATTAGTCTCTTTTCCGTCTATTATCAAGGAATAAAAATTTTATTTAATATATATTATTTAATTTATGAGAATTTGCAAACATATTGAAGTGATTTAAACTGAATACACACACTTTTTTCCAAAGAGTTTTCATTTCGGTCGAGTAGGTATTTTCTAACACTTTCCAACATTTATTAACTTTGGTCACTTTATCGGTGTCTATTTTATCAGCATCGCACAATAGTTTTGTAACATCATCTTCTGTCAATACAAAATGATTTGTGCAGCAAGACATTAAAATAACCATGCATAAGATTATTACTTCTGACATGGTAGTAGATAAATTAAAACAGATTGTGTAGTAATACAGTATAATAATTTGCTATTTTTATACTGTTGTGTAGATTTATTTCGGATTAGTGTTAACTTTAGTTAAAACACAATTTATTGCAATAATCACTTTAAAACAATTAAAAATTAAAACAATTCATTTGAAAGTACATTGAAAACAAGTTATAGGATTGAGTTAAAGTCAGTCTGTAATACAATTTTAATTAACATTTACTTGTTTAGGAAAACATACGGTAGTTATTTAATTGATCAAGTTTCTAGAAAAGTAATTTAATGAGCGTTATTAATAATTAGGAATTTAAATAATAGGCGGCAAAGGATAGCATAAAATTAGGCAAATAGAGTGAATTTAGTCATCACAATACCTTGTGTATTATCTACACTTTTAAATAACATGGTGTAATAATATTTGTTACACATAGATTTATTAACATAATTTTGTATTGTTTATTCACATTGAATTATAAAGTAAAGTACATTTGTATTTTGCTGTACAAATATAATTGATTAACAAAATTACATAATAAATATTGTAGATGTATGTTTATTATTTTACATACTGCACTTTAAGTTGTTTAAATTTATTTAGTATGAAATGCTAATACAAATAATGTGTGGGTACCAGGCACACATTTAATTGTACAATGTAATTCTTAAATTATTTATGGAATTAATTGTAAACGGTTTATGATTGTCTCAAATAAATATACAGTATAATATTTTGTGATTTATTATAGTTATATTATACTTTTAAATGTATTATTTTTTTAAACACAATCTTAAAAACTATACATTTTTATAATTACAAATTATAAATACAATAAATTATAAACCTAGAAATCTGATGAATTATAGTCTCTATATTATAGACAAATTAAACTTTCAAAGTAAAGTAACTATAGTATATTTATTTCAATAACAAAATTTTATAAATAAGAATAATAACATAGGAAAAATTACTTTTGGTTCTAAATTATCATTTCACGGCAATAAAAATAATTGTAATCCAGTCAACGATTTAAATATATTGAATACAACCTTTGTATATTATTTCTTAAGTATATCCAAAGCGCATTTCTAAATAAATCAATTATAAACATATTGCACTATATTTAATAAATCCAATAAAGCAAACATTACCACTAATTCCTCAAACTCCTTACGATTTGTAGATTTTTCTACTTTTATTGAATCATCATGTAACTTTTTATCTGATTTCCCGAGTGCACTTCTACATTTGTGATAATTCTCATCGCAAGAATCAATCAACATTTGTTTTAAACCAAGCTTAGTCAGATTAACCTTTTTGAACTTGCTCATATCACTTGTTTTTCCTAGACACTCTTTCTGAAAGATCTTCTCCACCTAGTATGGATAAATAAATATATGTATATATTTTTAGATTTGACATTTAATTAAGAATTTGCTATGGTTTGGTTGTACACAATTATTATCACATTATAAACATTATAAACATACTTTTTCATCAAGAGTTTTCATTTCATTCGATCGACTATTTTTGAAATTATTAAGACATTCCAAAACTTTGGTCACTTTATCGGTGTCTACTTTATTATAATCACACAATAGTTTTGTAGCATCATCTACAGACAAAACCAGATAATTTGTAGAGCAAATTATTAAAATAACCATGCACGAAAATATCACTTTAGTCATGGTGTTTTGATAAATTAAAATATAATGGGTTTGTAGTAATAAATTTGCAACTTTTGTGAATTGTTGTAAACTTTTCTATACTTTACATTTAAATATTATGACGTCTAATTTATTGTTTAACATTATTATATTGTGTATTCACATTGTATTAGCATATATAAAATAATTACATGCTGTACTTTTATAACAGAACCTCCTTTGGATGATCCCGCCCTATAATAAACACTTTTGTCGTGAAACTGGCCGTTCATTATAGAGAAGTTGCACTGTATTTACATACATCTATATTTAAAGTAACTCAAGGCCTTACATTGTACCATGTTCACATTTCTAGGTATTCAAAACAATACTTTATGTTTGCATTTTATGTAATTTTTAAGTTTTTGAATATAATTTATTAAAAAACTATTATTAACATAATTAAAGAATCAATACCGTATTGTAAAATCCAGTGTATGATTATTATGATTATTAAAAGTGCACATATTTTATTAATTTTTATTTAAATGTAAATTAGATACAAAATTCATATAAATTAAATAAATAAACAATTATTTTGAGTATTAGAATATTCGTGTTTTGATCATATAAATCATAATAGTCAAAATACCTTTTACACTTTATTGATGTTTTATTTCTTGAGTACATCTAAAGCGCATTTCTAAGCAAATAAAATATGAATTAATATATTTTTAAAATGTAACTAGTTAAGGCGTACAAAACCTCAAATTTCTGATAATCATTTGGATCAATGGATTGTGCAACTTTTGTAATGTCATCATGTAACTTTTTATTCGACTTCTCTAGCGCTTCAATACATTTTTTATAGCCCTTATCACATATTTCTATCAGCAGTTGCTTTAAATCAATTTTGGTTAAATCAACTTTTTTGAACTTGCTCATATCACCGACTTTTCCTACACACTCTTTCTTTACGTTCTTTTCCATCTATTATCGAGGAATAAAAATTATTAAATAAAATAATTTGCAACAATATTGACGTGATTTAAACTAAATATACGTACTTTTTCATAAAGAGTTTTCATTTCGGTCGAGTAGGTATTTTTTAAATTAGTGACACATTTATTAACTTTGGTCACTTTATTGGTGTCTATTTTATCAGCATCGCACAATAGTTTTGCAACCTCACTTTCAGTCGTGTATTCAGTCAATACAGTCAAAACGCATATAAACATGTTACATTATGTGTAATAAATCCAAAATAGGTTAAAGTAAACAATACGGTTAATTTCTCGAATTCCTTCGGATCTGCAGACTTTCCAACTTTTATTAAATCATCGTTCATTTTCTTATCAGACTTTTCGAGTGCACTTCTACATTTTTCATAATCATCATCGCAACCGTCAATCAACATTTGCTTTAAACCAAGCTTGGTCAGATCAACCTTTTTGAACTTGCTCATATCACCCGCTTTTCCTATACACTCTTTCTCAACCGTCTTATCCATCTTGTTTGGAAAATATGTATATTATTTGTTTGACATTTAATTGAGAAAATGCTATTTGATTGTACAAAAAATATTATCAAGCTATAAACATGGTAAACATACTTTTTCAGCAAGAGTTTTTATTTCTGTCGAAAAGCTATTTTTGTAATTCTTAGCACATTTTAAAACTTTAGTCAATTTATCGGTGTCTATTTTATCAGCATCACACAATAGTTTTCCAATATCTTCTTCAGACAATACCAATTGATTTGCGCAGCAGGTCATTAAAATAACCATGCACAAAACTATTACTTTAGACATGGTGTGTTTATAAATTAAAACAGATTGAGCTTGTAGGAATAAAACTTTGATATTGATATTATGTGAATTGTTAAAACTAATTTATACAATTAAAAATTATGACGTTTAATTCATTGTTTAACATTATTATATTGTGTATTCACATTGTATTAACATATATAAAATAATTACATGCTGTACATTTGCTAAATAAAAAAATTGTACTTAAAATATTAATTAACAAAATTACATAATTAATATTAATATAAAAATTTTAAATAATACTTAAATATTGATATAACACTTAATAATATTATTTTATTTCCAGCAAAAATACATCCAATAAAATATAATTACAATTACTTGCATATAATTAGTAATTATAAGTAATTAAGGTAAATAATATATTTTATTGTTAGTTTTTTTTACCAATTTTACAAAATAATTGTAAAATAGATATATTTATCTACATTTATATTTAAAGTAACTTTATCTGTTTAATAGCCCATACAATATTGCATGTTCAAATTTCTAGGTATACAAAACAATAGTTTACATGTACATGTACAGTATGCCTAGGGTTGCCAACTGTCCACTATTCAAGTGGACAGTCCACTATTTCGAGAACCTGTCCACTTAGAATTGAAGGGCAAATAGTGGACATAGAAATGTTCACTAATTAAATTTTCAACAAATTATTAAAGTTTTGTTTAAAATAGTGCAAATTATTGCATTTTAACATTGCATTAAATTGCATTTTGCACAAAATTGCACAAAATATTGCATTAATTGTTTGTTATTTTGAAAATTGCCAATGAATTTATTAAATATGGTAAAAAGTAACTATTATAAGGCCATTACAATAAGATTTGATGTGCTTTCATTTGAATAAAGTGGACAAATAAATTCTCTTTTTAATTTTATATGTTTAAGTTGCAGTAATAATCTGTAATTATATTGTGACATTTTTCAATATGTCCACTATTTTACATTAACTAAATCAATATAAAACTGAAAACATATTGATACATTTTTAAAAATTAATCTATTTTCTAACAAGGATTTTAATACACGTTAATAATTAAAATTAAAATTCAATGTTCATTTCTCTGTATGGAAAGTTGTTAAATTAAAATTATTTTGATATATTAATTATCTAAGATAATTTATCTTAAATAGAATTTATTAAATAATAATAATGAAGAATGATATTAAGAATAACTTAAAAATATAACATAAAAAAATATGTCCACTATTTGTCCACTATTTTTTAAAGGTTTCAGAGCAAATAATAATAATAATAATAATAATCATTTATTGTAATTCAACTTGTGAATACAAGCAGTCATTGGCTGCCAATACACTTAATGTGTATATCATTACATATTTATTGTTACAGTATGTGTTATTTTTACAGATATCATATTTTTCACACTATTTCATTGCATATCATATAACAGTCATACGCTTTACATTTATTTATATAAGCCGTGTCCAATGAGCGCGTGTAGGTGTGTGCGGATGTCATGTTCTGTTGTCGTGTAGATGTTATTGTTATTGTTTTTGTTCGAGTCGAGGCCACTCTAACGGTCTGAATCACCGCTGGATTGAAATCCGATCCATAGAATCGAACTCCCACTCTGGTGTGCAATTACGTCACGGCATTCCAACCATGAAATGAAACCTCTCCGCCACGTAGCCAGAGCGTCCAATAGCCAAATGTCCACTATTAAAAATTTTTGAGTTGGCAACACTAAGTATGCCTGTAATTGATGTAATTTTTGAATATAATTTATTTAAAAACCATTATTATCTAAATAACAAAAACTATTAATACCGTATTACACAAACCCGTGTATAAGGCTGTTCAAAATCTTCCGGTTGTATTTCTTGGTCGATTCCTCTGGAACTGTTGGAGTGACAATATTGAAACTTTACACATATATATAACCACGTCGGGAAATTATTTGACATAAAAAATTTTATGATCACGTGACTATTTAATAAGCAAATGGATGATTTGCGAGACCCTTATTCACAATCAATTGTGTTTGTTGTAAGAAGGGATGGGGGTTAGGGTTGTATAGAACTAATGTCAGTGTTATAATAACCAAGAATCACCATTATTGGATTGCACGTTTTTACATGGCAAGTGAACAAAGTAAGCCAATTTCCCCATGTTAATCTATGGGGACGACAAATAATTTTATATTTCAATATAATTAATTGTATTTTTAAAAACTACATTCAATGCTGATAATGTTAGTAAAAATTTTTTTTTGAAAAATTTCATTCCAAAGACAAAATATCTTTAATTATAAAATTCAGTTTTAGCTATAAAAACACAAAAATTTTTGATATTTTAAATCGCTTGTGTATTTAATGAATTGTATTGTATAGAGAAATTGTACTCACTTTGTAGTGTAACATAGATGTTTGTTGTTACATAGTGTTACATAATTGTATCTCAATTAATCAAATAGATCATTATCAAATATCTTTTACAATAAATATATTATCTAATTAAATAATAGGTAACACATTTAAAATACTCAAATAAATTGATAATGAATTGTAATTATATTCCACTATTACACGAAAAGCTGAAATATTTTTAATGTTTAAATATTTTATTATTAAAATTCAGTACTAATTATCATTTTAAATAAGAAATGCTCATAAAATAGCTAACAATTAAGTAAAAAATATATTATAGCAGTTTATGTATTAATAATTTATTGAGAATAATTGATTGTTAGTTAAATTTTTTTAAATAATTTTTTAAGTACAACTTTATTTGCTTACTATAAAATTTGTATTTGATGGATTTATTAATATATTTGTTGATTGAAAACAACAACAAATAGCTTTAATATTGATTTATAACATATAAATTTAATGCCAATTTATAATGTGACACTCTGTTATCCATATTTTAAAAAAACTATACCTGTGAAAAATCATTTATTTTGAATATTAAAATAAACATGTTTTGATAATATATATCATAATTAGAGTCTCGATTTTTCGGGAATAAAAACATGTGAATTCGGGAGTATACAAGGCCAAAATCGGGAAAATTCGGGAATTACGTTTTAATTGGATTTTCACATAATAATTATGTATTTAAGTGATTTTTAAAAGGTTTATATGCACNTAGAGTCTCGATTTTTCGGGAATAAAAACATGTGAATTCGGGAGTATACAAGGCCAAAATCGGGAAAATTCGGGAATTACGTTTTAATTGGATTTTCACATAATAATTATGTATTTAAGTGATTTTTAAAAGGTTTATATGCACTAACGAAGCAAAATAATGACATTTATTGATGCCAAAATAATTAATAATCTTAATTTTGCAGCAAGTTTTGGTATTCTGTGAGCAAATTCATTAGTATTTTGATAGAAAATCCAAATTTTTTCTTAAAAAAGTAACTTTTCGGGCCAATTTTAATAAAATAGAGGCTATTCGGGAGTTTTATCAACAATATACCAAATCGGGAATTTTCTCAAAAAGTGCCAAAATCGGGAAAATTCGGGAAAATCGGGAATTCCCGAAAAATAGAGACTTTAATCATAATTATGAAGTCCCGTGTACAATTTAGATATACTTAATTTATTACTTAATCAATGCTTTATTTTTTAAGTGCATCCAAAGCGCATTTCTAAACAAATAAGGAATAAATTAATATTTTCATGTTTAATATATTTAATAAAAATTAATAATACAAAACCTCGAATTTTTCAAACTCTTTTTCATCCATGGATTTTAAAATCTTTTCCATGTTATCATGTAACTTTTTATCGGACTCCTGGAGCGCTTCACTACATTTATCATAGCTCTTATCGCACACTTCTATTAACATTTGCTTTAAATCAGTCTTGGTTAAATCAACTTTTTTGAACTTGCTCATATCACCGGCTTTTCCTACACACTCTTTCTTAATAGCTTTGTCCGTCTATTTTGAATGTATTAAAATTTTATTTATTTATTTATTTTAATAAGAATTTGCAAAAATAGTTAAATGATTTAAAGTAAACATACTTTTTCATAAAGAGTTTTCATTTCGGTCGAGCGGGTATTTTTTAAATTAGTGTAACATGTTCCAACTTTGGCCACTTTATCGGTATCTATTTTACCAGCATCGCACAGTAGTTTTGTAATCTCATCCTCAGCAAATACAAACTGATTACTAGTAATACAAGTAACTAAAATAATAATATACAAATTTAATGCTTTAGACATATTGCGTTAATAGATTAAAACATATATACTTTGTAGTAATAATTTTATATTAATGTAAATTTTTAAAAAAATATCTACACTATTAAATAATAAGACCTTACTTAGGGTTTTAGTAGTTTTGATTCCATAGTACAGTATATTATTTATTCACATTAAATATCACAAAAGGAATTACAGCAGTATTTTTGCTGAATAAATATAATTGACAAAATGTCGAGAGATTTTATTATTATATTGCATAGTACTATTCATATTTTATCAAATAGCAAAAATTAAACAACACTATATTCAATTGTTTTAATAATTTGCACAATTATCAATGTATTGTATGCAAGGCAATAATTTTTAATATTTGTAATTATAAAACTATTATTATGCTACAGTAGTATTACTACTGTCTAAATAATTATAATGTAAGGTATTTTTCATTGTAATTCAATTTACAAATTTTAGAAATTATTCTTAAATTTTACATATATAAGCAAAATTATTAAAATTTTATAGTATGATTTTGATCACAATTACGATCGTTGTTTAACAGCGTCCATTATGCATTTCTACAAAACAAATAGTCATCATTATAACTTTTAAAAAATAATAATTAACGATTATAAACAGTACATCAATTTTATCTTTCTCTTTTTGATCCTCTATCTCATCCATTCTCTTCACATCTGCCCTAAACTTTGCATCGGTCTCATTGAGTTTGGTTATGCAATCCAAATAACCAGGATCGCACTCCTCAATTAATCTGAATTTTAAATCACCCTTGGTCAGGTCCACCTTGGTATAAGCGCTCATATCACCCGCCTTAGCGCTACACTCTTTACGACAAGTGTTGTCAATCTAGCCAATATAAATCAAAACATTCACCATAATTAAATTACGAGTAATTTGATCAACAAATTATTTTTAACTTTATAACATTGTTACTATTATAACATAATTTAAAATACTTTATAATAACGTAAATGCTTTATAAATTGAGCCTATTGTAAATAATTTTAAAATGCCATACTTTAATATCGAGGTCTTTCAGTTCGCTTGACACAGCATTCCTGTATTTTGCTTCACAATCATTAATTTTGGCCACAATAGTCGAATCGGTTTTACCTGGATTGCAAAATAGTTTTGTAAATTTACCATCATCGATATCATCGGAATCGTTAGCTAATGCTATTTGATGACTACCATAAATGAATAAAATTACAACAGGCAAAATTAGTGCTTTCAACATGGTCAACATTGTAAAGTGATTGTGTTTGTGAATGAATAATATTAGAGATTTTTATATGTTTTGTAATTGATTATAATCATTGAAAATAATATTCTACGCAAGCATTTTGAGCATTTATGTTATCTATAATATTTCTATAATAATTGTTTATAATGTTTACTCACATTTTGTTCATAATTTTAATATAAATCAAAATTATTTAATGATGGTGCAATCAACGTCTGTGTAAATAGTTTTATTTATATGAAATATGAAATTGAATCATAAATTTCAGAATTAACTATTGTAATTTATATTTAATATTACATTTTAAACAATACAACATGTGAAATTATTTACATTAGCTACAGTATACAAAAATGTATATGAAAGTGCATGGAATATTTGTAATAAACATATTAGTTTTTAAATATTAGTATAAATTGAGTCTACAATTGAATATTCCTATAGAAACTCTAAGAAAACTAATGCAAGTATATATTCCTATGAGAAGTCCACTAACATAAATGTAAATACATGCTTCTGTGAGAAGTCTACGAATATGAATAAAACAACTCACACACAGCGGGGGAGGGGGGGCCGAACGATCCTATAAACCACATTATTCATATCAGAATAGTGGTTAAAAAGAGTTTTTTAATACATTTAGTAGAAATTTCTATACAATTATATTTGCAATAATATAAAATTCCTTTATATTTAAATATGAAATATAATGATTTAATTTGTATTTTATTGCATAAAAACGATTATTTAATATAATTGCTTATTATAATTAACAGATTCAACAATTAATATTGTATAAACTAATATTGTGTAGTAGTTTAATAAACTAATAAATTCTGTTACATTTTTCATAATTGTAATATTCTTAATAATTTTACATAATTTCTGTAGAATTAATAAATTTCGTATTAATTTTGCCGGTAATGAAATACATTATTTTGCGTAAACTTCCGGCTTTTGGACGACAGCATTCATAGTGCATCTCTACAAAATAAATTAAAAATTTTAATAAACGATCTCATAGTTATCGAACTAATAATTGAACATTTTATAAAACAACATACATCAAATTCATTAGTCTCTTTTTTATTCTCAAGCTTTTCTAGTTTGTCAACATCTTGGGCTAACTTAGAATCGTTCTCAATGAGCTTGGTGATACATTTGAAGTAAACAGAGTCGCACTCATCGATCAATCTGGTCTTTAAAACGGGCTTGGTCAGATCTACCATCGTATAAGCGCTCATATTACTGGCTTTTTCCATACAACCTTTATGACAAACATTTTCAATCTAGACAAAAATAATTAAAACTACATAATTAGCATCACAACATAAAATCTAACATTATAAATTATTATAATACATAAAGAAATTGTATATAGAAATTAAAATTAACATACTTTATCATCAAGAGCTTTCATTTCAGCCGACATGGTACTCCTGTATTTATTTTCGCATACGTTAACCATGTCCACTATTTCCGAATTGGTTTTACCAGGGTCGCAAAATAGTTTCTCAAATTTAGCATCTTCAGCCTCATTAGCCAATACTAATTGATGACCATCATGGATGAGAAAAATTACCATTGTTAAAGTTAGTGATTTCAACATGTTTATACTTATGTAATTGTATTTTTATTAAATTTCGGATAAATGTTTATATGTCTGACAATTTGTTTTAATATGTTTATAATATATAATTACGTAAATCTGTGTACACGCATTGAAATCATGAATCTTTTATTTACTACCAGCATGTTTATTCACATTGTAAAAATTGCATTTTTAATACAAATTACTTTTATCTAATAATGGTGCAATCAGCAATTGTTTAAATAAAATTTTAATAAATAATAAATATTGATGTGATTTAAATACTACATCTTTATGTAATAAAAGTTATAATTAAGATTAAAATCTCTCTCTCTCTCTCTCTCTCTCTCTCTCTCTCAACATTTAAAATGTTTAGTATTATTGTTGAGAAAGTTTAGTAAAATGTGTGATATTAAAATACTGTAGTAGATACACATTCCATTACAATCATTCTTTCACCACGTCCAACATACATTTCTGTAAAATATGTAACAATGATATTAATTAATATATTAGATCATTATTTAAAATTTATATAAACCTCGTAAGTGTCAAAATGGCTTTCATTTCTTGCTTTATTTAATTGTGTCACATTGTTTGCCAAATTAGAATTTGTTTTAATAAGCTTGGAAATACAATTCTTGTAGCCAGTGTCGCATGTCTTAATTAACATAGACGTTAAATTTGCATTGGTCATGTCCACTTTATTGTAAACATTAATATCTGTTTTATTATTAAAACACTTATCATGGAATGAATTTTCAACCTAGAATAAATAAATAAATATTTTAATAACATTTAAATAATTAAGTCGTTATATTCGACATAACAAGATAAAACTCCACATACTTTTTCACAAAGAGCTATTATTTTGTGTGTGGTTGAATTTATAAAATTAATACCACATTCAATAACCTTGCTCACAATAGCTGAGTCCGTTTTATTAGGGTTACAAAACAATTTATTAAAATTATCATTATTGCCACATACATGTTGGGATCCACTATAAATTATTAAAACAATTAAATTGGCTACAATACTTTTCATCATGGTATGAGAGTTTGCTTACTATCATTATCTTTATTCATGTTAGGGTTTTATAGGCATGCTCATGGTTTATATTAAATGTTAATTATTTCATGTAATCATGAACTCAAAGTACCTTTTGTTAATATATTTATTTCCTTCGTAATGTTTATTCACATTTTATAAATTGTATTTAAAAGTGTGAAATCATAAAAATTAAACATTATTTAAATTTACATTACATTTATCTAGTAATGAATTAAAAAAAATTATAGTTGCAATTTTTTTCATTTCTCATTCAAAGTATAGCTTAAATTTTTAGAAATAATTCAAACAAAAATGGATCAAATTGGTAATTTATTTTAATGAACACAAACTATTTTATATTTAAATAATGTGATTATCATTGAGTTTAATTAACCAAATTCAAATAGCGCTTATTTCATAACAGCTTCCATGGTGCAATTCTAAAAATTAAAACAGTATTTATTAGTAATTTTTAAATCTAATAAAAATAGTTAAAATCTTATAATACATCAAATTTATCTTTCTCATTTCTGTCCTCGAGTTTATATGCTTTGTTCACATCATCATTTAATTTATCATCTCCGTTAATGAGTTTGGTCATAATAATAATAATAATAATAGTTTTTTTTATTCAATAAACATGTCATTGAAAGTTACATCAAATTTCGTTAAAATAATCATTAATTAAATTTAAAAATTTTGTAAAATTACATTCATTTCTTACATTTAGTGGCAAATTATTGAAAAGTTTTACAGACAAATTAAACAAGTGTTTATCAGATTTATTTATACGATTCATTGGTATTTTACAATAAACTCCATGTCTTGTGGTTTCAACGAATTCAACACAATTTAACCATTCATTTGGTATTTCAAGAAATTTCTCTTTTATTTTAAAAAATAGTTTCAAAATCTGAATATTTCTCCTCTTTTCGAGTGATTTATTAATGCTTAAACATAAAACAAAGAATACAAAATGGCGACAATAGTCGACCCAAGTGATGACACGTCTGTTCACAACAAGAGTTAAACCTAAAGTCCCCAAAGTCTCTAACGTTAACTAAACCAGGCCAGAGGGCTGGTTTTATAGGCAAATTCATAATAATAATAATAATAAGTTTTTTATTCAAAGAACATGTCATTGAAAGTTACATCAAATTTCTTTAAAATAATCATTAATTAAATTTAAAAATTTGTTAAAATTACATTCATTTCTTACATTTAGTGGTAATTCATTGAACAATTTTACAGAGAAATTAAACAAATGTTTATCAGATTTATTTATCCGATTCATTGGTATTTTACAATAAACTCCATGTCTTGTGGTTTCAACGAATTCAACACAATTTAACCATTCATTTGGTATTTCAAGGAATTTCTCTTTTATTTTAAAAAATTGTTTCAAAATCTGAATATTTCTCCTCTTTTCGAGTGAATCTATTCCTAAGAATTTTAATCTATTTCTATAATTAATATTAAATTTTTTCATTTTATAACAAATAAATTTAGTTATTTTTTGCTGAATTTTTTCCAAACGCTTAATTTGTGTTGAATTGTAAACAAGACAGAGATTACTGTACTCTAGAATTGGCATAATATAAGTTTTATATAATTTCAAAAGTGTTTTCCCATCGACTCGTTTGCAAACAAATTTCAATGTATAAAACTTTTTGATTGCTTTTTCGCAAATCATGTTTAAGTGGTCATTGAATATAAGCTTTGAGTCATAATAAACACCGATATGTTTCTGTGAAGTAACATTTTGGAGACAAATATTGTTAATTTTATACTGAAATAAGTCACTTGTCTTTAGGCTGATCCTCATATACACACATTTTTTTGCATTTAATTTGAGTGAATTATTCTCACAAAAGTTAGAGATCATATGTAAATCATTTTGTAATTCATCACAATCTGTAATATTTTTGATTACTTTCAAAATTAACATATCATCAGCAAATTGTATTATATAACTATTAATGTAGTCTATAATGTCAGCCATGTATACATTAAATAGGGTTGGGCTGGGACCCCCACCTTGTAATACTCCCGACTTAACATGTATTTCATCTGAAAAACAATCATTAAATTTCACAATTTGTTTCCTATTTAAAAAACTATTTGATAAAATTTCTAAAAATGTTCCACAAATGCCATACATTTCCAATTTTTTCAATAGTATTTGATGTGAAATTGAATTGAAGGCATCACTTAAGTCAAGAAAAATCAAATCAATTCCTATAATATTATCGTTAAATGCATTGTAAATAACATGTTGTAAATCTATGTGTAGATTATGAATACCTTTGCCTATTCTATACCCGTATTGACATTTAGGGATAATTTCATTTGACTCAAAATATGGCAATAATTTATTCAATAATATTGTTTCAAAGATACGATATATGTTTGGTTGCACTGAAATACATCTGTAAGACTCAAATGAATGTCTATTTTTGTTGCTCTTAAGCACAGGACTCGCAACAGATGTTTTCATATCATTAGGTATTTCTTTAAATTCAATGATTTTGTTATACAATCAGTACAATAATTTTGTGCACCCATTAAGACAGTCCTTAATTACTCTGTTTTTAATGACTGTTAAACCCTCTGATTTGTTAAAATTAAATTTCTTAAGAGCTATGATTATGTCATTCATAGTGATCTCTAATATATCTAATTTTTCAATACAATTTACATTAATGTTTGCATTAATAGGGATTAAATTATCATTAAATGTTGATTGAAAAATATCTTTAAATTTATTTGCTATCAATTGATTATCTGTTATTGAATTTCCATAACTATCGGTAAAGCATTGATTGTTAGAAGTTTTGTTCATTTGTTTAATGTTTTTATAAAGGGCTGAAAAGTTTGGCGATTTATCTATTAATGTCTGCATTTTATTTATTTCATATTTTTCTATTTCTAAACCTATTCTTTGTGTCAGAAAATTATGTTTTTCTAAAAAACCTGTTGTTTTTGACTCATATTTTGTTAATTTACGCCTACTTTTAATTAGATCATTGATTTCTCTATTAAATTGTTTTTTTGGTTTAATTTCAATAGTTTTTGTTGTGATAATAGAGTCCAAAATTTCAGTATATTTTGCACACATTGTATCATAAATTGAATCAATATTATTGCAATTTTTAGTCAATTCAAACCAATCAGTTTCAAATAGTTTGTCATTTAAAAGTTTTAAATTATTTTCATTAAAATCTAATTTTGTAATAAAACTTGATTTTTGATTAGTCGATGTAATGTTCAATTTGCACATTAAAGCCTTATGATCACAATTTTGATTAATATTCTGACAAACTTGCAAATCATTAATTAATTCAATATTATTTACTAAACATAAGTCTAATATTGATTTTGGATTTAATGCTGGATGAGTTGGTTCACTCACTAACTGTTGAAAACCATATAATAAAAAGTTTTGATTCAATTCGTTTGCCTTATTTGTCAAAATATAATTAGATTTTTCAAAGTTTACATTAAAGTCACCACAAATACATATAATGTCATAAAAGTTTATGTCAATGGTATTAAAACGTGAAAATAAATACTGATTAAAATCTATATCAACATTTGGAGGTCTATATAATGTACTGATTAATAGTTTTTTATTACTAACAAAAATCTCTACAAAGATATCTTCAAAACTCGATTCAATGAATTTTTGTGAAGTTTTATAAGTATTTTTTACGGCTATGAAAACACCCCCTCCTATGCGGTCTCTGTCTCTGCGATAAAAATTATAATTTGTTAAAATACTTTTGTCGGGAATTTTATTGTTAAGCCAACTCTCGTTTATAATTATTATGTCATAATTGTATTGACTAACCATTGATTTAAAATCATTCATTTTTGGTAAAATACTTCTCACGTTTGCAAAAAATATCGTTAAATAATCACTTATTGCATGAATTGCTGTATTGGTTGAAATTGTGGTGTTGGTTGAGACACCTGTACCGGTATTGTCGGCACATATCTCTGACCTGTATTTGGGATCATTATGTACTGTTGGTTCCGATCGCCTAAAAAATGGTCAGTATTTCGTGAATTCCTGTCATTTCTTCGGTCATTTTCTGGCGAAAAACCATTTAAATTCCTGAAACGTTTGGTGAATGGCCTGTAGTTTTGTGAATCCGGATTGTGGTAACATTGGTGAGAGAGATGTCCAGTCCTATCACATGTCCAGCACTTTCTTATAGACCTGTTGTGGTGAGTTGTAGGCCTGTTGTGGTGAGTTGTAGACCTGTTCTGGTGATTGGCCTTTTGTTTTACATAACGTTTGGTTGTGTTATTCTCACTGATAAGAGTTTGTAACAGTTTTTCAATGTTTTCCACTCTGTTTTCTATTGTCTTCTCTTCGGTGTCTTCTAATTGATCCAATTCTTCTGAGTCCAAAATTGTCTGCGTTTGAGATGAGTGTTGAGTTTGAGTCGCGTTTAGTGCACTAACACTGATGTTATGGCTTGAAGTGGAGGGCGTTGTTGTGGGCGTTGCTGTGATTGAGACATTTGGGTCACTTTTAATGCCATTCAAAACACAATTTACTAAATCGTTTATCCATTTCTCGGCAACAGTTTTCCCAATTACTGTTCGCGTATTTTTTAAATTATTTAAATAAACCTTTTGTTTAGATAATAATTTTTGAAAATATTTTTTCTCAATACACACAACGTCAGCCATATTGCTAATCTTACAAGTCATAAATTCATGGACAACTAGCACGTAGACAAACAATAACAATTGGTTGGTTAACAAATGCGTCAATGCTTACATTAATGGTAATTGGTTAGGAATATAATTCTTATTATTATTATTATAACTGGTATTTTTGTTGCCCAGGTAGTGACCAACAGTAAGCCTTAATTAGCGGGTATGGTTGTGTGTGTGCTTGTGAGGCACGGGAGGAAAGGAGGGAAGGGAATAGGATTGGGAGAGAAAGAGCGGGCAACTAGTGGCTCGAACAAATAATACAC